AGAATTTGAGTTATTAATAGAGTTCTTAAATTTCATCTTTGTTTTGCCTTTATTTGGCACCAAGTATCATCCCAAGTGAAATTACCCTGCCATTAGGATCAACTGCCTTGATTGCAATGTAAGTGATGCTACAAGAATAGTAAGGCTTTATTGTTAAAAAAATTGAGAATAAAAAGTTTCCTGATTTAGAAAGGGAAAAAATCACCTTCAAGTCATTCCCATTGTATTTTAACTTTAGTGCTTACCTTAAACTTTCAGAGTACTTTGAAGTCTGTGATTTCATTTTTTCATGTATTTGTACAGAGAGAAGGGAGAAAGAGAGCAAGAGCACTTCTACTGTATCTCAGGCAGTGGAGACACCTCATGAATAAAACAGACAAGATACCTGTCTTCTTAGAGTTTATGTTCTAGTGGGAGAAGAGATAAGACTGAAAAATAAATTAATAAAATATTAGAGTGTATGTTAAGTGCTTAATAGAGGAAACTATGGGTGGAACATGCTTAAAATAGATTTTAATTCTTTTTCAGAGATATATTAAAAATTCATGTATATTAAAGTCATAATTATGTATTAAAAACCCATGATAACATCATATTGCTTATTCGATAACCCTAATTATCAACACATAGTTATTGAGCAATAAAAAGCTCTCTGAGCAGCCAAAAATATGCGATACAGTATCCATGCATTTAACTTACAGAATATATTTCCATCTCCTAGCAATGAACCCTTTGGATACATGTATGGTCATACACCACATAAAGACATTTCAGTCAGTGATGGGCTGTATATATGACAGTGGTCCCATAAGATTATAATACCTTATTTTTACTGTACCTTTTGTATGTTTAGATAAAAACATACTTGCCATCGTGTTACAGTTGCCTACAATATTCAGTACAGTAACGTGCAGATTTTTGACCTAGCAGCAATAGGCTGACTATACCATATAGGGTAGGTATGCAGTAGGCTATACCATCTAGGTTTGTATAATACAAGTACACTCTATGGTGTTCACGCAATGACAAAATTGCTTAATGACACATTTCTGAGAACATTTCTCCATCATTAAGTGATGCATGACTGTCTATTGATCTCTATTCCATGACATGATTTCTATAAAATAAAAACACTAAGTAATAGGAATATTATTAAAGTGTAAGAAATCATTTGAAAAATAAATTGCTGATTTTTGCTTACCTGTTTTAAATTATTTTTTTACCATTAATTAAATAGTATCACCTTTGAATCCAAAATTTGTAGGAAAAATATGAAACACCTTGTAATACATGAGCAGCTTGTTCTACCTAAAATTTAATGATTACATTCTACCTAAACAATTTAAATTTATTATTCAGAATGTTTCGTTTAATTTTTTAAATAAGTGTTTTATTAACTTTATCATTAAAGTTTTCACATTATAGTTCTTAAAAATTCACTCTCATAGGCTAAAAGTGATTTTGTCTTTAGGCTGATTTCCTTCATGATTATGAACAGAGCAGCATGCTTCCTCTTTTCGGTGGGTAGGGGATCCTCTTAAAGTAAGATCTTTTCAGAAGAAACGTCTTTTCAGAAGTTTCCTCTTAATTCCTTGGCCTGAATTGGCAACTGTTTACAATAGTCAGGTTAAAAATAAGTATTAATACCTTAAGGTGTAATTATTTAACCATTTTTTGAATTTCCAATATTTTACAAATAACTCATCTTGGAATGTTTTCATAAAGCAATCAGATACAGTTTAAAATATGTACTAACATGAATAATATTTTAGACTTGCCACAACCTAACATCAGATAATCATTCAAGTTATTTAAAAGTATGAATTAGGTATGATGGAGTGTTTTTTTAGATCTTTGCTCTCTACTATTTTTACTCTTTCCAAGTATTTAGACTAAGTGATTTTTTAAAAATATTTTCATGCATATATAATTTAACTTGCAAGTGACAACTGGTTGAAGTTTTTAATATTTTCTTTTTTTGCTGGTGTTTATGTCTTTAATACCTTGACCTGAATGAGCATAGCTAAATTAACTCTGGACAGTCTGTTGGTTTTCATTCATTTATTATCTCATTTCCCTGGGTCAGGAGTATGAGCACTGCCTATCTGGGTCTTCTGTTCAGAGTTTCACAAAGCTAAAATGAAGGTGTCAGCCAAGCTGTATTCCTTTCTAGAGGTTGGAGTGCTCTTCAAAGTTCACATGGTTGAGGGCAGTATTCAGTTCCTTGCAGTTGTAGGAGTGAGATACCCATTTTCTTGCTGGCTAATGGCCATAGGCTAATCAATGGTTCCTTGCCACATAGCCTAATCACAAACCCTTTCACAGGATGACAGCTTTTACTTCTTCAAGACCAGCAAGAGATCTCTCTCCTACTGTCTCTCTCTCTGTCTCTCTCTCTCTCTCTCTCTCTCTCTCTCTCTCTGTCTCCTGATTAGGTCAGGCCCACACAAGATAATCTTCCTTTGATTCACTCAAAGTGAACTGAGTTGAGTAAGGACCTTAATTATATCTGCAGAATACTTTCACCTCTGCTATATTCTGTTGCTGAGAAGCAAGTCACAGATTCCACCTGCAATCAAGGGGAGGGGATTATATAAGAGTGTGGTTACCAGGGGACAGGAATCATGGAGCCCTTCTTACAATTCTGTCAACAACCAACAAGTTGAATTAAGAATTCTAAAAACCTGTATATTTGCTTTTGATCTAGTTATTTACAAATATGCAATTACGGTATTATATGTAATTATATAAATGCATAATTACTGTAAATTACAAATGTAAATTACTGCAAAAGTAATAAAAGAAGTTGGTAATGTTGGACATTCACGTTGCCTAATACATAATCCAATTTATTCTGAAAATCCCTTTTGTAAAAATAAAC